GTGGAGGCTGTGGTGGGACAAGCTGGTGTAGGCAGTCTTCAGCCGCAGCAGCGTGTGCGCCCGGCTCAGGTTCTCCCGCTTCACGAAGCCGCTGGCGTCTGAGAGGCGGCACGGCGAGCAGGATTGGGCGCGCGCCTCGTGCGCCTCCTCGGTGCCGTACTGCCAGTCCAGGCAGTGGTCCTCGGAGCTGAGGCTGAAGCTGTCATCCGAGGACGTGTGCATGGTGGAGATGTCTTCCACCAGCTTGTCGATCTTGGCCACTGTGCTGGAGATCTTGTTGGCCAGCTTCTCGGCAGCCAGTGAAACATCATCCTCTGGCAACGGTGGCTTCTTGGGCTCGGTTGGCTTGCTGCTAGTGTCCTTTTCTGGCTCCGGGCACCTCCTCTGTGCAAGGGCCCGGGGCAGGGCCTGACCTTGGAGGAAGGAGGAGTTGAGGAACATGGAGAGGACGGAGGTGTTCCCCGTCTCCACTCCGGTCGAGACGTTGGGCACCTCATCATCGTCAAAGCAGCCAGAGTCAGAGGCATAGTCCTTCACCAGGCTCTCCATGTGCCGCATCGGTTTCTTCATGCTCTGGCTCTTCAGGCTCTGCTTCTCCATGGTGTCAAAGGTCTCAGCCAAGTGCTTTGCATCCAGCTCGGCCTCCAGAGCCTTCTGCTTCCTCATGTAGAGGGAAGGCATGCAGGAGCCGGGGGAAATGACGGTGGCATCCTTGTACTTGGGGGGCCGGTTGGTGAGCAGGTTGCGAAGGGCAGCTGCACTACCCATGGCGATCATCTTGTGCTTGGAGTGGATGAGGTTGCGCAGCATGCTGACAGCCCCCAGGTCCCAGAGCAGCTCCTGGTCCTTGGGGCTGCGGGCAGAGAGGTTCCACAGCGTGCCGCAAGCGTTGCTCACGATGGTGAGGCTGTGTGACCGCAGGTGCTGCAGCAGCGTCTGCAGGCAGTTGTGGTCCCGGAGCACCTGCCTGCGAGACACGGGCCACCCCGGCTGTGAGCCCCATTGCTCAGGCGGGAGCGAGCACAGAGGAGGGAGCTGGTGGCCAAGCCACAGCCCGGGGTGATGGCAGGGTGCCTGGGTCCCCCATGCCCCAGCTGGGAGGGATGTGCATGGCGTGCCCCCAAACAGGACCTCATCGCCTTCCTTCTCCCTGCAGCACATCCCCAGGACAAAGTACTCTAAGCCAGCTGGGCCCTTTCCAGCGAGGGGCAGGAGGGACCACGCAAGGGAAGAGCCAGGAGGGACCACCGTGCACCCCAGGAGCACCCTTGAGTGGGCTTGCCAGCTGCAGGAGCAGCAACTCCCGTCCCTGCCGCCCTCACCTGTAGTCCTCACGTGTGGCGACGAGGCTGGATACGTTCCTGAGGATGCCGCCCCCACTCTCAATGATGGCCAGCGAGTTGCTCTGGCACTTGTAGGTGAGGGTGCTCACCAGGAAGCCCAGGGCCCCATCCACCACGCAGATGGCAGCTTTGTTCTCCGTGCTGTGCGCCGACAGGTTCCAGAGTGCGCTGAGGACGCTCTTGAGCGTTGACTCCTGCCCAGGAACAGGTCCCCGTCAGCCCCCAGTGCCGCAGCCTCCTCGCCCTGCTGCAGAGGGGCCCCGCGCTGCCCGCGCTCACCTTGGTGGCGTGCAGTGCGCACTGCGTCAGCCCCGTCACGCTGCCCACCTCCCGCAGCACCTTCTTGCTGTTGATGTCGGCACGCCAGGAGAGGTTCCTCAGGATGCTTGGCACCACCTGGGAGGGCAAAGCAGGTGCATGGGCAACCCCACACCCCGGGGCTCTCCCAGGCATCCCAGCAGGAGCAGGACCCCAGGGCATCCCCACCTGTCCTCATCCCCATGCCCGTCCCCGTCCCAGTCCACCCACCTGGTGCAGCTCCTCGCTGTCGGAGGCCAGCTGGGCCACGATGGCCTCCATGCAG